CAATTTCGGTTTCAAATACCCCGGCTTAGTGTTCTAGGTTCTTCGCGTAATTATGTGTTCGTATGCAAGGGATTTTTCCACACAAAAACGACGAATTAGGCCGAGTTTTGTTATCGGTTGGCTTAATATAACCCCAACGGACCGTATTTTTGTGAAAGATTGGTATTTTTATCCTGATTTGTAGGAATCTGAAAAACGCGTTTCACAACTTGTCTCTTATTTAGTTTTATGCGTCATTCAAGATGGCGGGCCCCATATAGTAAATATCATATTTATTTTATTATCATGTGTGCGCCAGCTGACTGTGGTTGAACCTATACAGGTTGTATAGACCGTGAATCAATCTGATTGTTTGAAGCAGCCATGTAACAAGAACCGAACACTATTAAAAATCAATAGCCTAAAGGGTCATCTTGAGTCGGTCGGATTTTTTCCCAGGCAACGGAGATTACCAAGGGCAGCTAAAATATGGGTGTGTTTTCTTAGCACGGCGCCAGACTTTTCAAAGCATACATTTAATTGTTTGCTTGTCTTTTGTTAAATCGCTGCGCTTCCCCGCTCCTGGCGCGTTTCCACTCGAAGAAGCTAATAACATAAAGGCTACAATGCTCGTCTGGTAATTGAATATTATGGTCAGCGTTACTGAAACATATAGACGGATGATATGGGTGTCGCGTATCATAGATATTCCGAGAATTGTTGACGCCTGCCTGCCTTTTACCGAAAACTGTCGAAGGTGTGTCACTAAGAAAAATCCACAGTCGATTTACTGGTGAAATCAAATCCAACTCCAAGAGTCAGTCGATACTGATCGGGATGTAAAAAATATCCTCTCGATCGGGATAAATATTTTTTTTACAACATGTAGCGATTGTCCTGGGCAATCTATGTTTGAGCCCTGGCTTTTTGTAGGTCGTTGTGATATGTTGTAATTTAAGTGTGCCAACGTGATCTAAGACAAAATATTCCGATCGGTATACAAATCAATATCTCGATTAGGATATCTATCGTAATCGCCATGCTTATATATCCCGTTCGATGAATAATCTTGATTAATATAGCAACAACTTCTATCAACCACCGCTGTATACATAATCCGATAATACATTATACCGGGTATATGACCACTACCCGTACTGTTATTCAAGTATGTGAATATATATAACAAATCTGAACGATGTGATATGATGGTTCATAAATACAAAGATTTAGAAACAAAAGATAACACATTACTGACTGTATATCCATTGGTGTGCTGTCCGTATATATTGATTCACCAGTTTAAATGGCGTGTTAACGAGAGAACAGGTCAGTTTAGTGTGAATGGTTCAATGATCATGAATGTAAGTACAGTTCCAGGAATCGAGGAGTCAGGCATCCGGTGTACTATTAAATGTGTATGCACATGATAAGAAAAGGCGGCCGGATGTTGGATTCACTTTCGTATTACGTTTATTTTGTGTCCTTTCAATTAATTAATATTGATGGCGGTGGTAGTGACGGGATGTTGTTGTCACGGTGGACGTCTTATTTTGCATACATCGACTAAAACACGAGGCTTCATTACTCGGACAATATGGATATTATGCGAGTGTGTACCAAATACCACAGGACCCTCTGTTCCTTCTTGAATACTATTTAAAATGCTAATCGGATACTGCATTCACACAAATTTACAAAAGATATGCACTCCTTTTTCAGACTGGCTTCTTTTTCGTAATTTATTGTGCATGGTTCAAAC